ACGTCTGGAATTATAAAAGTAAAAACACTGAGGATTCTTCATAGTGAGGGTTGGAGAAAGCGTGAAAGGGTGATTTTCTTTACTCACCAGCGCACTAGCACAGTTTCTCATCTCGTGTATCAAAAGGTTCTCCTTCCTGTAGTACCGTTTTCCACATTTCAGACAACCGAAGGGCTTCTCCCCTGTGTGCCTCCTGTGGAGATGAGACATTAGTTTACTATTTTAAAAGCATTTGGAAAGAAGAAAAAAGGTGACACCCTGTACCTGTTGTGAACCTTGAGGTAGTATTTGCTCTTGAAGGCTTTGAAGCAGATGGGACACTGCACGGAGGCCTTCTTAGAATCGTCCTCCATCGCCTGACCATTCTTGTTTTTGTTTGTTTGACTCTTGCATTTCTGTCCAGTCGCCGTAGACGAGGATGTGGTTGAGGAAGCGGGCTTAGTAGCAGGCACATACTCCTCATCTGTGTCTTCGGGAATCTCCTCCGGAATACTCACGTCATCATTATCGTCTTCTGCTTCCACTCCCCCACTCACCTGATTAATAACATTGTCGTTAATCTGCAGCTCCGTTGCCTGCAAGACAGGTGTAATAAAAACCCCTATATTCCTCTTTAAAAACACACTCATTATTATCCGCACAAATGCCCCGTCGTTGAAATATTTTTTCATACTTATGTTATTGTATTCTACCTCAGTTTCACCAGCTAGCTGATCTGAGTTTTGGTTTTCCTCAACAACTGCATCACCAACTTCTTTCTCCACAGGAAGAGGCGGGGCCAACTCATTTTCAGTTGTAGGGCTCTCATCGATAGTCACAAGTCGCCTGGAGCCCTTCACTACCCGGCCAGAGCGTGTGGTGGTTGCTGTAGTAGTGGCAGCAGCGGTAAAACTGGCTGCAGCAGTATCAATGGTGGGCTCGTATTTCGTGATGTCTGAGGCAGACTTTCTAGGTCTACCTCTTTTACGCTTGACAGGCACAGGCTCCTTAGAGGTCTCCTTGAACTGCTGACAGCGTGTGAGTGCCTCCGGTACGCACAGGCTGGCTGCTGCCTGCTGGACTCTGTCCAGGTTGTGAGGATCCAACTTCAGCTCTCCGGTGTAGACAAAGTTTAGGAGCAGCTCCAAGCCATCACTGGGGCATCCCTGCAGGCAGAACTCTGTTGCAGAAGGCACGTTTGACTGCTGGAGGAGTTCAGTGAAGCAGGCGAGGATGTTGCGATGAGCAAGGAACACTACCCCGTCTCCCACATTCAATGATGCATCACAAAACCTGCCCACTGCCCTCTGCTGGTTCAGGGCAGACAGGACACGTTG